AAATGATTTCAAGGGTGAAGAGCCCAACTAAACCAGCCCCTCACTCCATTACGGTGACACAAAAAACACCTTAATTTCTGTTGGATCTCAATGAGAATTGTATGCAAGTCAATTCAGTCAGTAATAAGTGTGTGTCTGCTGTTGTTTGTGGAGTTGTTTAATGATCCTCTGCTGAGACTGAAGCTGTTTTATTTTATTTTATTTAATGTTGTAACTCAAGTCACTGTTTGTGTTTCTTGTTTATTTTCTTCAGTAATTGTAATTATTAACAGCAGGTGTTCATCAGTGTCTGAATTCACTCATTAGTGTTCATTAAAACTGTCAGGTGAACTATATTAGTTAACTAGTGTATGAAATAGTGAACAAGGACACAATGTGTGATTTCAAACACAGACTTCAAAACATCGAATCTGAACTCTGTTAGCTCACAGTTTTCTGCAGTTGGTTACTTTCTCGAAAACAAAAATGTTACCCAGAAAGCACTGTTTTAACAGAATATTACTGTTTTAGTGAAAAAACATTATTTTACCGTAGAATCTGACCGTTTTTTACAGCAATTTTTTACAGTGCATCAAAATAAATGTGTAGTGTTTTAAAACCAAAGTCTTCATTTGTACCCACAACACATCAAGATTTGATCAAGTCAAAATCTCATAATCTGACACAAATCTCATCTGTCGCAACTGACAAATGGCATTGTGTAGTCTGAACAGGGCTTTAGGGAGTCTAAAAGATAACGACGAAGATAACAGAGGTAAGAATCTCTTGTCCTTTATAGGAAGTCAGGTATCATCTGATTGGTGAATCGTGTTAGCTGATGCTGGACCAGTCGTGAACAATAATAAGCATGTGATCCTCTCGAAAGTAGTTTATAAATAAACTTCATGTCAATGAACAGCCAAACTACATGAAAAAGCTGCCGTTTTCAATATACTCGTGTTTGTGTGGAGAAGGTCTCAATGTTGAGGACTCTGCTCTGCATAGTGAAGCTTCATGTGAGCGCTGAGGTTTATTTTTTGTTTAAAGCTCATTCCACACTCACTGCATCTAAAACGATCTTCTCTTGAGTGATTCTTCATGTGTTGCTTAATGTAGTCTTTGCAAGTGAGACTCTTTCCACACTGATCACATATGAACACTATGATTCCAGAGTGACCATCCATGTGGTTCTTGAGGCTAGCTTTGGTTGTGAAGCTCTTTCCACACTGAGCACATGCAAACGGCTTCTCTCCAGTGTGACTTATCATGTGGTTATTGAGTGCGCTTTTACATGTGAAACTTTTACCACACTCTGTGCATCTGTAAGGTTTCTCTCCAGTGTGGATCGTCATGTGGGTGTCATGCTTTTGTTTTTGAGCAAAACTTTTTCCACACTGTGTGCAAGCAAATTTTTTTCCTCCATTGTGAGTTCTAATGTGGTCTTTAAGGTTGCCACTTTGCGTAAAACTCTTTCCACACTGTTGGCATGTGTAGGGCCTCTCTCCAGTGTGAATTCTTTTGTGCACTGCAAAGTTTCCTGCTTGACAGAAGCTTTTTCCACACTGTTGGCATGTGTACGGCCTCTCTCCAGTGTGAATTCTCATGTGGGTTTTGAAGCTTTTTTTTTGACCAAAACTCTTTCCACACTGTTCGCAAGTGTAAGGTTTCTCCCTAATGTGAACTCTCATGTGAACACCAAGGTTAAGCTTTTGACTGAAACTCTTTCTACACTGTTTACTGCTAAAATTACACTCAGTTTTGGATTTCCGAGGTCTTCCGAGTGATGAAGTCTTTTCAGTCAGTGTGGGTTTTTCATCAGCTGTTATTTCTTGGTGTTGCTCTTCCATTTTATTCCATTGTTGAGTCTCTTCTTTCAGCACCATCAGGTCTTAAAAAAAAAAAAAGAAAAAAAAAAAAGTGAACTTTAGTATGAAGGCACAAAGCGACAAGCATGAAATGGATCTTTCACCCAAAAATTAAAATGACCTTACCATTTACTCTGCGTCTTTTAAATATTTCCTTTCTTCTGGAACACAAAGTAAGCCAGCATGTTTTTCACAATATCTTCTTTTGTGTTCAGCAGAATCAAGAAACTCAAAGATTTAAAGCCACACGAGGGAGAGTAAATGGTGAGGCTATTTTCATTTCTGCGTTAACTATCCCTTTAAAGGGTTCCTATTATTAACCTTTTTTTACAAGATATAAAGTAAGTCTTTAATGTGTCTCTAATCGGGAACAGTGACAATGTAAATATACAAATAATAGCGTTACCCCAGGGTTTACCAATGTGAAACGTCTGTTAATGAACACCCAGGATTATTTTATAACCCCTAGGGGCTGTTTCATAAAAGTGGTTTAGTGAGCCAAACTAAATGTCCACACTTTAATTGGTTCTATAACAGCAAGTTGAAGATCATTTGATGTAACTAATCTGAGTTCAGCTGAAATAATCTAGATAACTACTCGTGCACGTTACTGTCATGAAACCCTGAAGGTCGAGCACAGATGCATCATTATGATTATGTTGTATGCTACCTTGGCAACTACGATGAATGAAAGAGCTCTGAAACAAGAAACCACAATGTTCACAGCGAGGGCATAGCATTTGATTCAAATATAAGTTCAAATATATAATAATTTAAACAATCAAAAAGTACGGCTTGAAACAAAGCAAGAAAGAGGGCTGACAGGAAACTGCAGATTTTAAAATATAGGTCATTATTTAGGCCTATTAACGTTAAGTTAAATATTTGTCATAATACATTGAAATATGTACTTGTGCGCAAGAGAGAGAATACACACTCACTGCAAATTGTAGCTTGCAAGGAAAAGTCTTAATGCATTGGAGGTTTACTGTAACATTCAAAATGTACTTAACGTCAGCACAATAAGTTTAAAATAATGGCTACAAAGAGCGGTGCACACACAAGCAGTGGGATTTTTTATTTGCTCTCGAAACTGCTGCAAATTGCTGCTTTCTATTTAAAAACATTTGTTGCCCTTTGAAAACATTTGTTTATTTAAAGTGCTGTCGAAATTAGAGCGTTAACAATTAATTTGATATATATATAAAATGTTTTTAAAAAATGAACGCAGTTGCTGTTATACTTCCAGTTGTAGTCATGCAAAGAAATATGCATAAGACCAAGGAAGCACTTTTAGAAGGAACGTTTCAGTATAAAACAATTAATGTCGCATTACCAGGCTTTCCAGCATTACATCTAATTTAGTACGTTTCATTTTTAATCTTTAGACTTTTGCTGTAATAGAAATTGATACCACATACCGAATGGAAAGAAAAACCTCCGCATTTCGTGACTCTGTGTTCCTTTAAGGTAATAAAAAAAAAACAACTGTTTACATGGTAGACTCTTAATAAGAGTATTAATCATATTAAAATGGGAGTATTGGTGTCCATATAAATGTACTCAGTGAAAGTGCCAGATAATGTCGCGAGCTGTCCAAGACATCTGCATTCGTCTGCTTTTAAGATGATTCCATGTGCGCTCAAATTATTTATTAAGTTTGATGTGTTTCCTCCTTAAACGCAAATTTTGTACAGCGCCTGCTTCACGTTGCTTTGTCAGAATCCTTGTGAAATACAGCCATACTTAAGAACACATGGTTTAAGCAAATTTGATGAATGCGATCGCATAAAAAAGTGCAAAAAATGCGAAAACGCATTAGTGTAAATGGGGCCATAGTAGTGACCTGATCTCATATGCTATTGTTTTAGAACCTCCAATTTAGTTGCCTATTGGAGAAATGACCTGGAATAATAAATGGCTACTTGCTCTACAAACAAATGTGTTCATGACTATTCATACAAAGAAAAATAATAAAATGAGAAAATATGACTTTGCAACATCAAGCAGCATTAGGCATGGGCCAGTATAAGATTCTGACTGTATGATAAGCTTGGATATAAATATCACAGTTACACTGTATTGTGATTACTGCTCTAAAATGTATTCTTTTTAATCTCTGGGTAAAAAAAAACAAGAACTTTTTCCCTTTGAACACAATATATTTTCTATTAAGAAACTTTGAGGCTCAGTTTCACAAACAGGGCTTAGATTAAGCCGGGACTAGGCCTTAGTTAAATTAGTTAAATTTTATAAATAAATTTATAAAAATGGCCTTAGTAAAATATATTACTGGTGTGCACCTGGAGAAAAAAAAATACACTGATGTATTTTATCTCACGGAAAGTGGGGGGGGGGGGGGAATAACCCTGTTTTAAGGATCTAAAAATAAATTCTTTAAAAAAGTCTCAAGCAAAAAGATTCCAACGGCGACGCCTGCTGGTACATGAAGAATTTGGTCAATACTGACGAACTTCACATTCTAATGTTTGCATATAATCAGCATGCTGTAATCCATTTCTAACAGCAAAAGTCATTTTTAGACTAGTTTGTTGGCCAGTTGTAGTCAGTGCAATCCTAAACGTTATTGTTCCACTATATTTAGTTTGTTTTGTCTCACGTCGTCCCACAGCAACATCTTATAGCTTAGAATACTGTACAATGTTTTATAACAATTATTGTAGTGTCCATTTCATTCAGCATATTTAATATTGGGGGCAGCCACATCATTTGACAAACTGTAAACCAGGGTTTCTGCAGGTTTCTTTTTATGACATTTTTAAGACCATTATGAATGAAATTTTAGACCCATAAAGGGATAAAGCTAAATAATTTTTCCAATGGTCTAGATGGAAAAGATTTTTATTTGCCCCATTAAAAAAATAAAAAATTATAAATTATATATATATATATATATATATATATATATATATATATATATATATATATATATATATATATATATATATATATATATATATATATATATATATATATATATATATATATATATATATATATATATATATATATATATATATATATATATATATATATATATATATATATATATATATATATATATATATATATATATATATATATATATATATATATATATATATATATATATATATATATATATATATATATATATATATATATATATATATATATATATATATATATATATATATATATATATATATATATATATATATATATATATATATATATATATATATATATATATATATATATATATATATATATATATATATATATATATATATATATATATATATATATATATATATAT